TTTTAATACGAATCAAACTTTTACGAAATTATTCGAATCGGTTGATCCGTGTTCCCGAAATCATCAATGAAAATTTGTATAATGAATATTTGCACACACACACGTACGTCCATTTTATATTATAAGGTATGCCAAAATATTCAGAAACCTTTGAAACGTAAAGAAAAAACAACATTGATTTTAGATTTTTTTGCAATTACTATAACTTACCCACGGGCACCAACGCTTGTCGATAGTGCATACCCGCCTCGATATGTGTAAAGTATAAATAGATGGCAAACACGGCCGCTTTGATGTTACATCAATGGTAATTCTTACAGCATTCAATAGATGTCGCCACCAACTGTAGCACGTTAATTTACCATTACGTTCAATTCCAGATAAGATTTATTGTTGTGGTTCAAGAGAGGTCTCAGTAGATTTAACATCCCGTAAGCCTGTCCAATTTTCATATTAATATGTTTTGTGAAGCTGGGTCTATGGTCCAGGGTAACACCAAGGTATTTAACATCCTTGGACCACTCAACTTCATAGTCCAATACTTTTATTTTATCCAAGTCAGTCAGTCTAGTCGTGGCATTTCGGCTCTTTGTAAATAAAATTACCTTCGTCTTTTGCGGATTGATCCTGATCTGCTATTTGTAAGTATATATTCGGTTAGCTTGCCTATGTGTGTCTGTATGTTTTTAGTCAGTAGCGTAGGTGACCGTGATGATTTGTATATAGCAGTGTCGTCAGCAAACGTCAGTAACGTTGTGTCGGCGTCAGTGGGTATGTCGTGGATGTAGACGTTAAACACTGACGGTCCCAGGATTGAGCCCTGCCGTACTCCCGCCGTCACTTGTTTAACCGTCGAAAGTCTGTTGTCTACTTGTACGGTTAAGTTGCGGTCTGAGAGGTATGAGTGTAATGTTCTTGTAATGTACGGTGGAAAGTTGAGTTGGATGAGTTTATAAATAAGTCCGTCCATCCAGATGGTGTCAAACGCCTACTCAAAGTCGAGTAACACCAATCCGGTATGGTTTCGTATGTTAAAATTGAGAACTGTATTTTCTATGAGTATAATTTTGTTGTGTCTTATGTGTTTGTTCAGTCTTTTGAGTAGTACCTTTTCGGCTACCTTACTCAATGTGTTGAGGAGGCTGATCGGTCTGTAGTTCTGTGGTATGTCTGGCTGTTTCCTTGGCTTCACTATTGGAAATATGGTGGAAGTTTTCTAAGAAACAGGAAAACAGCCTTTCGTCATTAATCTATTTGTTATGCGGGTAAGTAAAATGTAAGCGTTTGTTGGCAGTTATTTAAGTATTATGTTTTGTAGTTCGTCCGATCCTGGTGGTTTCCTGTTCGGTAATTTTTTAACTATTGTTTTTATTTCGGAAACTGTGGCAGGGTCTATTCGTAAGTATTTGTCCCTGTGGAGGTCAGTGAAGTCTTGAATTGTCAATCGATATTTTTTTGACAGACAGAAAAAAAAATGTATTCAATATATTGGTTACAATTTATGTATATACAGTGATTTATATATGAGTTTTTCTACCCTAGGGTATTCCACTCAAAAATTTCTAATTTTACATCTCTTTTATTGGCTATTTATATTTATACAATATTTTAGATATATAACGAAAACAAAAAAGGAAAAGTTTTAGTCTCCAAAAAAATCTTATTTCCAGTGATTTCTCGCTTATAAAATAGCTTCGGGATCGGTCTGGTAGTTTGGCATGGCATAATTCCTATACCAGATCATTTCCGATGTGTATTGGCCTAAAGCTCGGATGGTGCTATTATCATAATCTCTACACTTCCGGTAAAAATTTTCGGTGAGCTTTTTGATATGTTTGAATATAGTCGGTATGTCCGTCTGCTCATGTAAATATTTACTTGGGTAGTAGTGTCTCGTCAGTGGGTCCCTTGATTTGTCGAGTACTAGTCGTAGTGCCTTGTTATGTGCTATTTGTAATCTCCGTCTGTTGGTCTTGGTTGTCGCGTTCCATGCTGGAGCGGCGTATAATAGTAAAGGTCTTTTGAGTGTCAAGTGAAGTGTTCGCTTGTTCTTCACGCTTAGCGGGCTGTTGTGGATCAAAAGATGTCTTAGTAGATTCATCATCCCGTAAGCCTGTCCAATTTTAGAATTTGTATGTTTTGTGAAGCTGAGTCTATAATCTATGGTTACGCCAATGTATTTGACCGTCTTGGATCACTCAACTTCATGGCCCGTTACCTTTAGTTTTGTCAAGTCAGTAAGTGTAATGGACCAACGACTTTAGTGAAGAAAATTGCTTTTGTTTTCACTGGATTAATTTTAATTTGCCATTTTTCCGTATATTCTGTCAATGCGTCTATATGTCTCTGTATTTTTGTAATCAGTAGCGTTGGTGATCGTGATGATCTGTATATGGCAGTGTCGTCAGCAAATGTCAATAGTGTTGTGTCGGCGTCAGTGGGGATGTCGTGGATGTAGACGTTAAACAAGGACGGTCACAGGATCGAGCCCTGTGGTACTCCCGCCGTCACTTGTTTAATCGTTGATGGTGTGTTGTCTACTTGAACTGTGAAATTACGGTAAATGGAGTGGTTTTGTGATGTACGGTGGCAAGTTAAGAAGTATTACTTTGTGTATAAGTCCGTCCATCCAGATGGTGTCGAAGGCCTTCTCCGGTATGGTTTTGTCTATTGAATTTGAGTACAGTGTTTTCTATTTGCTGTGTGAGTAGATGTAACGTAGAGTGCTGTTCCTTAAAGCCGTACTGTGTGCCTGATATAATCTTGTTTCGTCTGTTGTGTCTGTGGATGCGTTTGAGCAGTATCTTTTTAGTAACTTTGCTCATTGTATTGAGAAGGCTGATTGGTCTGTAATTTTGCGGAGAGTCTTGCTGTTACCTTGGTTCAGGATAGAAAATATGGTTGATGTTTCCTATAAAGCAGGAAAGTGGCCTTTAGCCATTATTTGCTTAACCAGTCGTGTAATCAGAATGTATGCGTTTGTTGGTAGTTGTTTCAGTATAATATTTTGTAGTCCGTCCGGTCCGGGTGCTTTCCTGTTCGGTAGTTTTTTGATTGTCAATTTTATTTCAGAAACTGTGGCAGGGTCTATTCGTAAGTCTTAAATTGTTCAGTAAAATTTTGAATATTGTGTACGTCTCGTCTTAAGTCTGCGTTGGACATGTCGGCGTTTTGTCTGTGTATGTTTTCAAATTTTGTGGCCAAAATTTCTGCTTTGTCTGCTGGTGTCGTGGCGTAGTTGGTGTCAGGTAGTTTGAGTGGCGGGATAGGTGTTGTTTTCCTGGTCAGTCTTTTGGCCGTTTGCCAAACTTTGTGCGGGTCAATGTTGATGTTTTCTAGTCTTTTAGTCCAAGTGTCGTTCCGGTGCTCACGTATCTCATTATAAATATAAGTAGTCTGTCACTAGTATGTTGTCACAGTTATTTATATTGTTCTTTAATTTAATTTTTATTAATATTTGTTGGGGAAGTGTGTCAAATATGGATGTATTTGCGTGTTGTAGCAGTATTATGTGTTGAATGGTGTCCGTGATCATCCGTGTCAGATGTGTCACAGCCTCCTCTATGTCTGTATTGCTCTCTATGGGTATCGTGTGTCGTATATTGTATGTAATAATGTCTCTAAAAAGTGGCCAGTTGGCTCTGGAATAATCTAAAATGTTGCGTTCTGGAGTATGATCGACGTCGAGTCTGTCAGAGATAGTCATAAAAAAAGGGTTATGGTCAGAGTTGAAAAGTGTTCTAGTTACGAGTTCGGATGTTACGTGAAGATTTTTTGTCAAGGCTAAATCGATCGTGCTGCGATGGTAGTCTGTACGGTGGCGTATCTGGTCGGCGTTTCAGGATAGTGTAGTTGTGCGTCCGTGGTGTTGTATTTGGTCAGATATTCGTAAAGTTGGGTTCCGTTCACGTTGTTGTAATTGCAGTTTCAATATGTATGTTGCGCGTTGAAGTCTCCTGCCATTAAGACGTTTGTATTTGAGTCAAGTAAGTTTTGTAGGTCCATCAGTTGCAGTCATTTTGTATACATTGATAGTTGTTGCTTCAGAACCGCCCGCTGTCAGGTTTGGCACTTGCTCGTGTCTGATGTTAGACTTGATCAATATCGCAGTGCTTTCCCATCCGCGTCAGTTTGTCGGTCTGTCGATCTTGTATACTTGTCCAGGTCATATTTTGTAATAGTCTGTTTCAGTTCGTCTACGTTTTTAAGTCCGTTGGAGTTGAAGTACATTATGTGTATGTTGCGTGTGTGATTTATGGACATGTCGTTAAAAAGTTAAGTATAGTTGTATATTTGTCATTGTAAGGCGTATTTGTGTTCAATGTCTCTGTCAGTTTATAAAGCTCAATGAAAATTTGTCTTACTTCAGGATCTGCAAACAACTTCTTGATGGTCACCCATAGCAGTAAAAAGTCCCTCTTGTGTACCAAGGTCTGGATCGTACTGGCTGGTGGTAGGCCGGATTTGTGAGGATGCTGGCTGGATCCGTTCTGGTGTTGGCTGGATCTTTGACGATGCATTCTGGGAGACCGACGGTGTACCTAGTGATGATGGTACCGGGAGTTCAGGAAAGACAGACCTGTTGTTATGGCCATCGTTGGTGGGTTGTAAAGCTGACGAGAAGCTCCTCGTCAGCGGCGCAGGTGTTGGTGCTGGCCTGTATGCTATTTGTCTATTTTTGCGCATCTTTATCTCTTTTAGCTCTATAATTGATTAGAGCAGGGCATTTGGAGTAGTTAGCTGGGTGATTGTCTTGGCCGTTCACGCATTTTGGTTTTTCGTTTGACGGTTTCATGCACACTTCTGGTGGGTGCACGTTCGTGCATTTTATGCACCTGTAGCGTATGTCGCACGTGTACGAAGTGTGGCCAAAGTTTAGGCACTTGGGGCACTGTATCGTCTTATTGTGTGGCCTGTAATTTTCCCATTAAATATGTGTTCTTCTATATTATTGATTTCTTTTAGTTTGGATATTTCTTGTTCCTTATCTAGAAGGACTATTATATTGGAAGTTTGCGTTGACTGCCGTCCGACTCTTTCTTCTTTATTTGAACCACCTGGTTTACCTTAATTTGTTTGGCTTTCAGCTCTTGGAAAACCACCGCCTCAGTTATGTCAGGATTCAGGCCAGCTATCGTCATTTTCTTTGGAATATCTTGCTGCATTGTATAAGTGTAGAACTGAAAATCACAATCCCCCAATATGTTCTTTAATTTTTCGTGTTCTTTTTGGCAAAATTTTTATGTAACTGTGGCTTCAGGTATTGTGTTCTAAAAATTATTTTTTAGGTATCTTTATTAACTTCCCGTAGGGTATTAACTTTCCGTAGGGTAAGTTATAGTAATCGCAAAAAAATCGAAAATGAAAATTTTTATATATCTTTACGTTTCAGAGGTTTCTGAACATTTTGGCATACCTTAGAAAAAATGGATGTATGTGTGTGTGTGTATGTGTGTGTGTGTGTGTGTATGTATGTATGTATGTACGTGTGTGTATGTATGTGCGGATACAAATTTTCGTCGACGACACGGATCAACCGATTTGAATAATTCAAAAAACATTCGATTCGTATTGATAAGGAGAAGTGCTGATTAGTTTTTGGCGAAGACAGGTCTAGCCGTTCCGAAGATATGGGGCAAAAAGTGCCGAAAACGGTAACTCAGTTTTTGAGAGAACGGAGCGTCCGATTTGAATAATTCAAAAAACATTTCACTTGTATTGACAAGATTAAGAATCGATAAAATTTTCATGAAGGTAGCTCTAGCGGTTTCGGAGATATGAAGGAAAAAGTAAAAAAATGAGCCATTTGGCGGTCAAAAATGATCATTAGACATATGCACATCAAATTATCAGATATTTTATAGAGATTTTAACAATAAGTATACATTTTGTTAACATTCCTATGGGTTCCGTACCAATGCTTATGCGTTAGACAGCGACGCGGCGCTTACGCGCTTTATATTTTGTCCCTATGCAGTTAAAGCAGTACGATTGCTTTGAAAAGAAAGTTCAGATCTTCCACAATATGTCAAAATAAAAAAAAAAAATTTTTCAAAAAAAAAAAACAAAAAAAAAATAAAAACAAATTTTTTTTTAAAAAAATTTTTTTTCAAAAAAAAGTAATTTTTTGTCCAATTTATAGTTTCTTAAACATCTTATTTTTTCGAAGTAAATTTTTTTTAAAAATGTCAATCGTTTAAAAATAATAATTTTTGGTACGGGAAGTTCCAGCAATTTGCCTTAAGGCACGATGCCTTAATTGCCTTAAGACAGAATTCCACTTACAGCTAGTTTAATTACTAATTACTACTGGTTCTTGTTCTTTGTGCCCGGGAATTCCGGCGTTTGTATTATGATGCGCACTGAATTTATTAATGTGAAGAATACTGTACTGACTTAAAAATTTTGAAAAACACTTCAAAATGGGTGCTTACTTTCTGACCATTACCAATTCCAATTCGGAATTTGGAAATAAAGTAGCAGAAGGCACTACCACCTTTAAATTGTATTTGTTCTATGTTTACGCCCCATGTGTGTAATATATTCAATTTTCATGAAAATACCAGTAATTGGCGCGCCCGTAGGTAAGCAGTTAAGAGGTCCCGGTTTCGATGCCCGCATCGAGCAGCCTGTTGTCAAGCAGTAGTGACAACGGTTTTTACTTGGAAATATAGATAGCAATACGTTTCCAAGTGAAAATAGCCGGTAATATCCCAGTTAGAATGACGACCGGAGGGTTGTCTTCTGATGGCATTCAGTATAAAAATGAAACTAAATCTAGATAGAGTAAGGACAATTAATGGATTGTCTACTAACAACGCTGTTTTTACAAGTTACTTAGTAATGACCAGTGCTCTGTACAGCTTATAAACTACGTGAGAAAATACGGTAATACCGATACTCCTGTATAAATACCGGTATTGAGTACCGGACATGCATATCTAATAGGTTTGGATTTGCCTGTAATGCCCGCAAAAAAAGATTTTTACTTGAAATTAGATTTGAGATCTATATAATTTCCAATAAAAATTTGATATGATACTGCTTGTTATCGAGGTTGGGATTGAATCCGTTATTAATTGGCGATAGCCCACGTCGTCCCAGGCCCATAATATTTAAACCATAACCATCTTTACTGAAATATAATTGGCATGATTCCCAACTGATATCTTTGTAATAGTTCTTGAATATATAAAATCAGTTCAAAATTTTAACGTGGGCGGAAATGTTTGCCCAATTTTCTAAAATTCTAAAGAAAAGGCTCGGTCGATCGTCGAGAAAATCTAATCAACGCGAGTATTTATCAAGTTTAATCAAATCAAATTAAATTAAAAAAAAATCAGCAACAAAGGTCAAATTTTAGCTCACTTATAGTGTGTAATTGTTTCAAGTTCAATTTTATATCTTAAAATTTCATATTTGTTTCAAAATGCACAAATATATTATATATAATATATGTCTATAAAATATCTGATGATTTGATGCACATGTGTCTAATGTTAATTTTTGACCGCCAAATGGCATTTTTTTACTTTTTTTATAAAGTATTAAGAAAATCATTAGGAAATGTTCTACAGGAAATGATTGACTTTCAAACACTTTATTTTCACATATAAACTAATTTGCAAAGACAGAACTGATTATGATGATGATGTTAAATGCTAATGAAAAGACAGAACCGGTTATTATGGCATCTTGTAAGTAAAAATAAAGTAGATTGCGAAATTACTATAGCTAATGACAGTAATATACAATTATGTGCTGTTTTGATAAAATCTTCAAACGCATTTTATATAATATTCTTATATTACAGTATAAATACAGATAAAATAATTAACAAAAATTTAATAGCCCTTTAATAGCCATTTTTATTTGCCCGACAAATTTTGTATTGGAGTCAGGGTAGATGAAAATTCATAAGTGGAACTCCACTTTTTCTGCAAGAGATATCTAGGCACATTCGACCAACGCCATATATTATACAATCCAATTGCGAACTAAAACTCACGATTGGTGGCTTATGCAGATATTTCTCTGCAAATTCAAAGGTTAATTTAAAGATGTCATCCTTGAAACGAGTGTCTTCTACGCCGAAAATAACCGCGTTCCAGAGCTTTATATTGTCCGTCCAGAGTGATCCAGTAATTCCAATCAGGGGCTCATTTTCCAATCTTTTGAAATCAGTCATGAGACGTCTTCTTGCTCGAGAACGCACTTTGTAATCAGTATATCGGCTTAGAGCATTTGAGTTTAGGACATAAACAAATAATTAAAAATATCGCATTTAAATATATTAGTTTACAGAATATCGATTTTAATGATTTAGTTTTTGTCTGTTCAACTTTTTTCGTTATGTACATTATATTGGCGCTTTTTACGAACTCAGATCAAAAACTATTGGTATGCAAATAAAATTATTTTGTTTATCTGATGTCATTTACGTTTTTTGTTTATTTACATTGTATTGGCATTTGTTTTGGCGCATTTGATGGATTCGGATTAGTTACGGTTGGCATATAAGTACAAGATTTTAATTTAATATTAGTTCAAAAGTTTTGGATCAAACAATTGAACTGGAACTTCTCGTACCGTAATTAAACATTCGAGATATGAAAATAATTATTAATTGTTTTAAATAATTTCAAATAGATTATTATTTGAAATTGGGCGACGAGCGTATTCTACAAGCAACTTATGTGTATGTTTACAAGAAATTTGTTTTTTTTTTAATTTGATTTTTTTTGATAATTTTGATTTTTTTCTTCAAAATTTGGAAGTTCGAAATATTCTCAAATTTTTGTAAAAAATCGATTTTTTATTAAATTTTACCGCTCTTTTTAAATTTTTTAATTTTTGAATTTAGATTTTTTTTAAAAATATAAAAATTTCGAAAATTTGTTTTTTTTTTTTAATTTTCAAAATCACGAAATTTTCTGTGAAAGCATTTTTTGCACACCATATACACAAACAAAAGGTTTTTTGAATTAATCTAGTCGGATGATCCGTTCTCTCAAAAACTGCATGACCATTTTTACACCCTTTGAGCTCCATATCTCCGCAACGGCTAGGCGTGCATTTTGCAAAAAACGCCTCGCAATCGAGTACGAACTGAATGTTTTTTCAATCATACAAATCGGTTATTCCATGCTGTCGAAAATGTCGAAAACATTTATTTGAACTATATAAATAAACTTAAAAATTAAAACAGAAAAAAATTCTGATAATTTTGTGTGCATATGTCTAACGAACATTTTTGACCACCAAATGGTATTTTTTTTAACTTTTTTTTATTGAGAGTCCATAACCGTTGGACCTGCGTTTCCAAAAATTCAAACAGTTCTTCGTTTAGTCAATAAAATTAAAATGTTTTTTTGTATTATTCAGATCGGACGTTCTGTTCTCTTAAAAACTGAATTACAATTTTTGGCTGTATTTGCACCGTATCCTCGAAACGGCTAGACTTGCCTTTGCCAAAAACTTTCAGCACGTTTCCTTTTCAATACCAATTGAACTCTTATGAAATTATTTAAGTCGGTTGTTCCGTGTTCCCGAAATCATCGATGATTATTTGTATCCACACACACACACACACGTACATCCATTTTATATTCCAAGGTATGCCAAAATGTTCAGAAACCTCAGAAAGAAAAAAAAATCGTTTTAGATTTTTTTGCGATGACTATAACTTACCCACGAACACCAACGCTTGTCGTTAGTGCATACTCGTCTCGATATGTGTAATATATTCAATTTTCATGAAAATACCAGTAATTGGCGCGCCCGTAGGTAAGCAGTTAAGAGGTTTCGATGCCCGCATCGAGCAGCCTGTTGTCAAGCAGTAGTGACAACGGTTTTCACTTGGAAATATAGATAGTAATATGTTTTCAAGTGGAAATAGCTTTTGCCCAGTAATATCCTAATTAGAATGACGAGCGGGTGGTTGTCTTCTAATGGCATTCAGTATAAAAATGAAACTAACTAACTAACAATGATTGACTACTAACAACGCTGTTCTTACAAGTTGGTAATAAGCAGTGCTCAGTATAGCTTATAAACTATGTTTAAACTAGCTGTAAGTGGAATTCTGTCTTAAGGCAATTGAGGCATCGTGCCTTGAGGCAAATTGCTTGAACTTCCCGTACCAAAAATTATTATTTTTTTAAAAATGATTTAGAAACATTTTTGAAAAAAATTTACTTCGAAAAAATAATATTTTTGAGAAACTATAAATTGGACAAAAAATTACTTTTTTTTTAAAAAAATTTTTTAAAAAAAAATTTTTTTTTAATTTTTTTTTTTTTTTGAAAAAAAAATTTTTTCTTTATTTTGACATATTTTGGAAGATCTGAACTATTTTTCAAAGCAATCGTACTGCTTTAACTGCATAGAGACAAAATATAAAGCGCGTAAGCGCCGCGTCGCTGTCTAACGGATAAACATTGGTACGGAACCCATAGGAATGTAAACAAAATTTATACTTATTGTTAAAATCTCTATAAAATATCTGATAATTTGATGTGCGTATGTCTAATGATCATTTTTGACCACCAAATGGCATTTTTTTTTACTTTTTTTGTTAGATCTCCGAAACCGCTAGACCTGCCCTCATGAAAATTTGATCAATTCTTCATCTTGTCAATACAAGTAAAATGTTTTTTGAATTATTCAAATCGGACGCTCCGTTCTCTTAAAAACTGAGTTACCGTTTTCGGCACTTTTTGCCCCGTATCTTCGGAACGGCTAGACCTGCCTTCGCCAAAAACTAATCGGCACGTCTCCTTATCAATACGAATCGAATGTTTTTTGAATTATCCAAATCGCTTCATTCGTGTTCCCGAAATCGTCGACGAAAATTTGTATCCGCACATACATACACACACGTACATACATACATACATACATACATACATACATACATACATACATTTTTTTTTTTTCCCACTCCAATGGTCACAAGCTCTTACAGTAATGGAGGTAGCTGTAGGAGTGATCACCCCTCCACTTCCCAAGGCACCGCGTTCGGAGACGACCTTTTGCTCTGGAGGACTATTTAAATAGCATGGATAACTATGAAAACCCAAAAAAACAAGAGACAGGTGACGTAATTATGGACGTCGAGCACGATGCGGCAAAAGCCGCTATAGTAAAAGGAGGCAAGAAGGTTCCCGGTAATCTTCACCGTGACAGAGTAAACTCTGCACCATCGACTAGATGTCGTCAAACGCCGATGGAGAGACTTGGCTCCAAAATTGACGAGCTAGCGGAGTATGTGAAAGATAGGAACAATGTTCACAGCAGAATAAAGGAGCTAATTAGGTCGATTGATACAGCATATAGCCTGGCATTGAAAGAATATACGGCAACCCCCAAAGCTCTCGCAATGACAGTGCAAACTACACAGACCTCTCCCAAGAAAACTATTAAACCGGGTGTAACTCAGACGCCAATTCCTAAGACCCAGGAGCAAAACACAAACAAAAGGTTGCTATCTTCACTTAGTCCCACCTCTGACGCGGAAACGCATCCGCCTAAAAAATCGGCTGTAGAAAATAACTGGACGAAAGTGGTTCGAAAAAGTTCGAAGAAGAAAGGAGCCCGAGATCCGAAAGAAACCTTGGAGGAAACCGAGAAACCGGAAACCGAAAAAATCGATACAAATGATAGTGCTAAGCACAGAAACAACCATCATAGGACAACTCGGAGGAAACATAGAACCAAGGCTGTTCTGGTTCAACCAGCTGAAGGACGAACGTACGCTGACATCAAACAGACAAGAAATGGAGGTGTATTACTGGAAATGAGTCCCAAGTCCGAAGATAGTGCAGCCTTTGCAGCTGCGATAAGGGCAGCAACTGAAAACATAGGAACAGTGAAATCACTGACGCCGCTGACGACGATAGAGATTCTTGACCTTGATGGTGTCTCTACCGAAAATGACGTTCGTAAAGCACTCATTCGGGACTTTACGACAAAACTGGAAATACGACGAGTGAACTTGACCAAAGTCACATCAAGAGGACAACGAGCGGCCTTCTGTGAGATAGACGAGGCTAATGCAATCAAAGCCCTAAATGGGGCCCGCATAAGAATTGGGTGGGTTAACTGTCGCATTCGCCCAGTTGTTAAAGTGGCCCGCTGCTTTAGATGCCTCGGTTTCGGACACCAAACGCATAAATGCGGGGGACCAGACAGAAGCAAGTGTTGCTACAAATGCGGTGGGGAAAATCACAAGTCTGTAGACTGCGCGGAAAAGCCAAAATGCTTTTTATGTACAGTAGACAAAGAAGATCGAAACAGCGGGAGCCATGTTGCCGGATCCGGTACCTGTAACGCATTCCGTGTAGCACTTGCCGAAGCCACGAGAGAACAGAAATGACGCGATTTCTACAAGGTAATCTGAACAGATGTGCCTTGGCGCAGAATCTACTGCGCCAACGTATCTTTGAAGATAAGATCGATATCTGCCTTATCTGCGAGCAATATATGAATATTCAGAATAAAACATGGTTCGCAGATAAATCTGGCACGGCAGCAATATGGATCACAAACTCAAAGAAGATTACCGTCAATGACTACGGAAGCGGCGAGGGTTTCGTCTGGATCAAGACTCCCACGACCTACTGTGTAAGCGTCTACCTCTCACCAAATGAAGGAATCAGCGTATTTCGCCAGAAAATGGCAAGCATAGAAGACACTCTCGGCAATTTTGACGGAGAAGTCATTGTAGCTGGGGATTTCAACGCGAAATCGGCAGAATGGGGCGCCGAATACTCGGACACTAGAGGAAATGACGTGGCAGACTTTGCTGCAAGATTAGACCTTACTGTGTTAAATACTGGGAGTATTACAACCTTTAGAAGGCCAGGGTATCAGGAATCTATTCTCGACATTACGTTTGCCACTCCAAGGACGGCGAACATGATTAGAGACTGGACTGTATCTGAAGAGTATAGTGGCAGTGATCACCAACATGTGACATTTAGTATTGGATCCGGTCCGACTCGACCAAGCAACTCTTGCAAACGAAGGTGGAATGCCAAGAAGCTTGACCAGGAAGCGTTACGAGCAGCCCTCGAGCAAAACGCATCTACTCTTCAAGCTGATCCAAAACTAAGTACCCGCAGAGAAACGGAAGAAACGGTATTTAAAACTATGAACGCTATTGTTACCTCGTGTAACGCCTCTATG